GTAAATTTAAATCTATTCAGTTTTTAAATTAATTTCAGTAGTATTATTGACTGATATGAAAATGTTCATATGATTTTTTTACATTACAGTTTGTAAAGTTTTTTTTTTTTTCGTCTTTTAGTAGATCTATATGAGAGACTCGCTTTGTTTGACAAATAAGGATATGGATCTAATTGGATTTGCATTGTAAACATTAAATAAAAGTAAAAAAGGTTTTATTTTTTATTTTATGAAATCTTTACACATAAATTAGCAGATTTTTTTTTTTTTTTGACAAAAGTCTGCGCAGAAAGAGCAAAACATGTCAGCAGAGTCAGATGTGCAAACTATTCACGTCTGCAGATTGGCAGATTGGTCACTTTTTCACAGTAACATGCCCATACCAAATAACGATTCTTATTACTTGGTGTCAGTGTAAACATTGTTGATTTAATATTTGTGTGGCAGAACAGCATCAACCAAAATTAATCTAAAGAAATAATTATAATTGACATGTCATCAACGGGATTCGAACCCAAGTCAAAAGGTTCTTCACGAGTATCAACCGACTTATCCAACTGAGCTACTCCGGTGTACGGGTTGTCAATTGTTTCCATGAACTTGTATTTCCATGTTTTTATGCACTCTCACGCTGATATTTTCTCAGAATAGCTCTAATATGTTTTATCGCAGTTAGTCGAACCATGATTTTTATAGCTGTAGACTTGTGGAAACCTGTTTACAAAGTCACACACGAGATGGATATTATTGATATTTTCCAGTGTGTGTGTGTGTGTTACATTCCGGTTCACTACCATTGTGTGGTATATTCTACGTCACTTCCAGGGTGTGGTACATTCCCTTTCCGTAGGGAATCTGTAATTGTAAATTTGTTTCGGGATTTGTAAAAGTGTTTTGCGTCTTGTTAATTTGTTTTCTAAAATGTAAATTTGTTTCGTTCTTTGTAAAATAGTTTTTCCTATGTAATTGTGTCTGATGATAGGTAAAAATGTTTTTCAAAATGTAAATTTGTCTCGAGCTTTGTAAAAGTGTTTCAAACTTTGTAATGTTGTTTTGCACTTCCCGGCCACCGTAAAAAATACATTGCACAACAAAAACAGTTTATTATAACCAGCCTTATTAATTACACAGCACATTAAACAAAACATATGGCGGCGCTTTAAAATAAAATCATTGATTAATTATGATTGATATGAAGTTGCATAGTGATTAAAGGGTGTTTATTGTTCCTGCAGTGGATTCGTTTGATTGTCCGGAGGAAGTGTCTTTCAGCATCCAGTGGTTTTTTAAGTATTACCCGTGTCACAATGAGTACAACAATATTGAAGTGAGTGGCACCTCCTTAAATGCTTACAGCAGCTGTGTGTCGCTCTTTGTTTGATTTTTGTTTGCTTGTATGCTCAGGAAATGTACCTGAAGACGCCGCTGAGTCGACGTGATAGTCTGGACCCCAACCCTCTTGGACCCGGAGAATATATTCTGCATAAATACAAGGAGTTTTCCTGCAACAATGACATGCACATCTTCCCCATGTTCAATGTAAGGTTATTTGTCATTTTTCAACACTTGACTTGTTTCATTCAAATTTTCTTTGAAGAAAGTTATCAGTAGTGTTTGGCGATTTACGAAATGTTCAGATGGCCATATCGCACTCCTGAGAAATCGCCGATACACTATACTATCACAT